AAGAAACACCTACAAAGCAGTAAAAACCGTTGACAGAACCATATATCATGTAGTAGTCAGGATCCGAGATCGTCATGTCGTATCTTGCCATGACACTAGAGTATATATCATCGTCTTTGTTGTCATATTCAGGAGCTGAGAAAATGAAACTCTTCTGTGACTCTCTGTGATAGGACGTGAAAAGGATACGAGGCCGAGTCATTGACCTAGTAAATAAATATTCATAAAGAAATTTTTTTAATTTTAGATAATTAAAAAAGTATAATACGTAATTATTTTCAAATTAAAATAATATAATAATATAATATAATGATATACATATATATATATTCGTGAAGTTATTTTTCGCCTCTGATCTCACATGTCAAATTATAGTGATTTTTCGCAATGGAGCTCCCACCTTAAAAGTTACACTGGTTAATATCGTTTATACCCTTAATGAATAGAATATATAAATTACATACAAAATAAAAATGAATTTAATTATTTTAATTAGATAAGTAATTAAAACTAATAATAATCATAAGAACTATACAAAATCTAAATAATATGTATTTAAATAAGATAATTCCTATATATATTGTGTTGTTATCTTCCAATATATTTTAATAAAAAATAGAAAATACATAACTAAATATTAATCAAGTAAACTTCTTAATTTTATATAATTGAAAATATTATTTTATTTTATCTTAATTTTATATAATTGAAAATATTATTTGATTTTCAGATTTATTTTTAATAGTGAGCATAATATACAAAGAAATATATGTAAGAATGTTTAAATGAAAATATGAATATTATTGGTTTAAAAAAAACATAAATAATAATTTATCATTAAAATCTTTCAATTAGTAAAAGTATATTAGTAAAATAATTATAAAATGTTTAGGCCCGCAAGTGATTTTTCGCAACGGTGCTCTCACATTAAAAGTTGGAGTGGTTAATATCGTTTATACCCTTAATGAATAAAATATATAAATTAGACATAAAATAAAAATGAAATTGATATTTATTTGATTAGATAAATAATTTAAATTAATAATAATGATAAGAATTATCCATAATCAAAATTTATATTTAAAAAGAAAAAGATAATTCCTATATATATTGTGTTGTTATCCGAAAATATATTTTAATAAAAAATCAAAAACAGAAAACACATCAATAAATACTCATAAAGAAACTTTTTAATTGTACATAATTGAAAAGAGAAAGTTAAAAAAATTATATTACGTAATTATTTTCTAATTAAAAGAATATAATATTATAACATAATGATATATATATATATATATATATTTGCGAAGTAATTTTTCGCCTCTGTACTCACACGTTAAATTAAATTTATTTTCTATTTTATATTGTATAACATTAAACATGAATTAATCATAATAAAATAAAAGATCATTCAAAAATAAAAATAAATACGTTGTTGACAAAATAAATTCAAATATATTGTATTATTATCCAAACTAATATTATTCTTTCTGTAAGATCAATTTTTGAATGTATATTTATTGATTCAATTTATCAAATTGAAAGATAAGTTTCTATATTTTTTTATCAATTGAGAAGAAATGAAACAGATTTTAGATTTTGTTTTCAAAGTTTTAAAGGAAAAAATAGATTTTTTTTTTAATCTATGAATAATTTTATCATGTAAAAACACCTAGTTTGTTAGTAAAAAGTAACTTTAAAAATTATTTAATAGTATTTTTCAGAATTTTTTTCAAAACAAAAACAAAAATAAAAAAAAGTTGTTAAAGTTTTTGTAAAAGACTATATTGAGGCTGATTCTTCAAAGTTGTTAATTAACATGATTGTGACATATGAAAGTTATATATTTATTAACTATAATTATTATCTAATAGTAATTTTTTTATTTTTAAAATCATAAATAAAAGATAATTGTAAAAGATTAATTGATACTAATTTTCCTTTTAATATTGCAAAATGTGTTAAATATATAAGGATTAAAAAATATAAAATAAGATAATCAAAACGAATTTAAAAAAAAAACTAAATTTAGAATTATTTATTTTTAAAAAGTAACTTTAAAAATTATTCAGTAGTATTTTCAGAATATTTTGTTTCAAAAATCATAAACAAAAACAAAAATTGAAAAAAAGTTGTTAAAATTTTTGATAAATAATTTGTAAAAGACTATATTGAGGTTGATTCTTCAAAGTTTCTAATTACATGATTGTGACATATGAAAGTTATATATTTATAATTATAACTATTGTCTAATAGTAATTTCCATATATATAATGATTAAAATATATATATATATATATATATATATATATAAAATAAGATAATAAAAAAGAATTTTGAAAAATAAGTTTACAATTATTTATTAGTAAAAAGTAACTTTAAATGATTTAATAGTATTTTTAGCATTTTTTTCAAAAATCCTAAACAAAAATAAAAACTGAAGAAAAGTTGTAAGAAACTTTGAAAAATAATTTGTAAATGGCTATATTGAGGTTGATTCTTCAAAGTTTCTAACTAACATGATTGTGACATATGAAAGGTATATATTTATAATTGTGATATGTGTTAAACTATATCATAATTAACAATAAATATACTAAGATACTAAAACTGATTTTTGTTAAAAATGAATTATAAATATTATTTAATAGTAATTTTCCTTTCTAAATTTTGTAAAATTATATAATTGCAAATAATTATTTTCTAGAAATTTTGCCATATTTTAGAATATCCCATGATTAAAAATAAAAATATATATACAAAGAAAATAGTAAAAAACGTTTTTGAAGAAATAATTTTCATAATTATTTAGAAAAAATAAAAATTCAATTTTAAAATTATTTAATAGGGATTTTTAGAAAATTTCATTTTTGAAAATCCTAAAGACAAAGATATTTGTAAAATAATTTATTTAATACTAGTTTTTTTTCTAAAATCCTAAAGAAAACGATAATTGGAAAAGGCTATTTGATAGTAATTTTTCTTATAATTTTTTTTATGTGATAAAATATCTCATGATTAATAAAATATATAATAAGATGATAAGACTCATAAGAGTAATTTTTAAACAAAAAATAATTATTTAGTTGTATTTTTCTGTACATTTTTATTTTTAAAAATTTTAAACAAAAAATTAGTCAAATAATTTATGTAATACCACTATCGTCTTTTGTTTATAACTGCCAGGAGAAATTTTTTTAATAGTAATTGTCCTTTTCTAACATCAAAAACATAAGAAAACTGTAAAAGAGTATTTAAGTAGTTTTCCTTTCTTCAAATCCTAATCAAAATGTTTTTGGAATAATTAATTCTAATAATTTTATGAATAATCCACTTTCCAATTACAATAGTTGATATTCTTTTTATAAATTATAAACCAAAATGAGATACAATTGTTCACACACACATATATATATATATATATATATATATATATATATATATATATATATGTGTGTGTGTGTGTGTGTGTGTGATTAAGTTCTCTCATATTTTATCACTTCTCATATTTTGGTAGCAAATATAACAAGAGATACAAGAATAATATTAATTGAGTTTTTGTGCATATTCATTCACATTTTCGTGTGATCTACTCCTTTTATTGGTATCCTATGTAGAAGAAATAATATGTGACATCCTGATCTTCACATTAAAGTGATGTTTATTTTAAAAATATATATATTATTATCATGATGTCGTACATTAGTTACTGCCACAATTATACGTAAGCGTTTGTACATGTTGTTTTATGTAAGTTTAATGGGTAAGTAGATTTTGATCCGCATTTAAGAAGCGCAAATATTTTTTATTGACCATAAAGGTAAATATTAAATGAATTTATAACTATTATAGATATATTATTTAAAAGATGTTATTGTTATTTCAGTCTAATCGGATATTTTCGTTGTATTTTCATATCTGAGTCAGATTTTGGTCGTACCGATAGATCCATTTACTCGTATATAGTAAATGTAGGATATAATAAAATGAATATGAAAAAAATACCTTTAAAAGAATATGTAAGACCGTTATTAATCCACTGAAAATAATATTTTGATATATCAATATATATATTCGACTTGCATAATAATAATTTTTTATACGTAAAATTTGATCAAGCATTTGCGTTATTGTAATTTTTAAAATATATATTATATCTAGATTTTGATCCGCGCTTTGAAAGCATGGTTTTTGTTTTGAATTATAAACAAATTTTTGGTTTGTCATACAATATTAGTTTACAAAGTCGTATTATATATAAGCAAAAGATTTTCTTTTAATAAATATATATAATTTATGAATTAGTGTATTTGAAATTTTGTATGTACATTTTTATGTAACTCACTCTTAGAGTCTTGGGCCTCAACATTTTCTTGGGACTCAAAAAATTGAATCGAAACCGACTCGAAATAATAATCCTTTATTTTTACTCTATATTTAGAGATTTTTATTATATAGGAATATATTGGAGCATCTCCTCCTATTGTAGAGTTTATTTATTTTAGATTGAAAACAACAAATGACATTGGAGATGGTTTAATGTGAATTTTTTTTTCATTTTTTGATGTGTGTGCAAATATTAAACATCACATAAAATTCGTGCAACGCATGGATCCATATCTAGTTTTTGATAAATTTTACTAAAACATTAATATGATGAAATAACTAAATTAATATAACGAAATTAATTCAAAAAAGTAGTAAAATTACATGTAAATGTAAATTTTGGTAATTTGTTTTGAAATATGGTGACGTGGATCCGAATGTTTAAAATTAGCAAATACAATACTCGAAATAGGAGAAGGATCTCACTGAGAGAAGGATCCAGAAACTCGAAATAAGAGAAGGATCCAGAAACGTGAAAGTATATCGTGGAGTATATATACATAACTTCGCCTCCTTCGTCATTTCGCATCAAACACTTTCTCTGCTTTCTCCCTCGCTGATAAACCCTAGATCTCTCTCTCTCTCTCCCTCGCTGATAAGCCGCAGCAACAACGATGGCGGACGCCGAGACTTTCGCATTCCAGGCGGAGATCAACCAATTGCTCTCACTCATCATCAACACCTTTTACAGCAACAAGGAGATCTTCCTCCGTGAACTCATAAGCAACTCCTCCGATGTACGGCTCTCTTTCTCTTTCTATGTTGTTGATCGATCTCTAGATTAGGTATTGATTAGCGTAATTAAAGTATGGGTCGATCTCTATGAATATTTGAACGTTAGGTTAATCAGTTTCCTCTAGGTTAGATTGATGTTATATGAGATTAACAGAGCTTCGCTCTTTACGTATATTCAATTGTATTTATACTGATTGGATGTGACTGTGTGAACAGGCGTTGGACAAGATTAGGTTTGAGTCGTTGACGGACAAGAGCAAGCTCGATGGTCAGCCTGAGCTTTTCATCCACATCATTCCCGACAAGGCTAACAACACCTTGACCATCATCGACAGTGGTATCGGTATGACCAAGGCTGATTTGGTCAACAACCTTGGAACCATTGCTCGGTCTGGCACCAAGGAGTTCATGGAGGCTTTGGCTGCCGGTGCTGATGTCAGCATGATTGGTCAGTTCGGTGTTGGTTTCTACTCTGCTTACTTGGTTGCTGACAAGGTTATTGTCACCACCAAGCATAACGATGATGAGCAGTACGTTTGGGAGTCTCAGGCTGGTGGGTCTTTCACTGTTACGAGAGATACCTCTGGGGAGAGTCTTGGTAGAGGCACGAAGATGACTCTTCATCTTAAAGAGGATCAGTTGGAGTATCTTGAGGAGAGGAGGCTTAAGGATTTGGTTAAGAAGCACTCTGAGTTTATTAGCTACCCTATCTCCTTGTGGGTTGAGAAGACTGTTGAGAAGGAGATTTCTGATGACGAGGATGAGGAGGAGAAGAAGGATGAGGAAGGGAAAGTGGAGGAAGTTGATGAGGAGAAAGAAAAGGAGGAGAAGAAAAAGAAGAAGATTAAGGAGGTTACTCACGAGTGGGATCTTGTGAACAAGCAGAAGCCTATTTGGATGAGGAAGCCTGAGGAGATTCCCAAGGAGGAGTACGCTGCTTTCTACAAGAGTCTCAGCAACGATTGGGAAGAGCATTTGGCTGTGAAGCACTTCTCTGTTGAAGGACAGCTCGAGTTCAAAGCCGTCCTCTTTGTTCCAAAGAGAGCTCCTTTTGATCTCTTTGACACTAAGAAGAAGCCTAACAACATCAAGCTTTACGTCCGTCGTGTTTTCATCATGGACAACTGTGAGGACATCATTCCCGAGTGGCTAGGCTTTGTCAAGGGTATTGTTGACTCTGAGGATCTTCCTCTCAACATCTCTAGAGAGACATTGCAGCAGAACAAGATCCTTAAGGTCATCCGCAAGAACCTCGTGAAGAAGTGCCTTGAGCTCTTCTTTGAGATTGCTGAGAATAAGGAGGACTACAACAAGTTCTACGAAGCTTTCTCCAAGAATCTGAAGCTCGGTATTCATGAGGACTCTCAGAACAGGACCAAGATTGCTGAGTTGCTCCGTTACCACTCCACCAAGAGCGGTGATGACTTGACGAGCCTAAAGGACTACGTGACGAGGATGAAGGAAGGTCAGAACGATATCTTCTACATCACCGGTGAGAGCAAGAAGGCTGTGGAGAACTCTCCATTCCTGGAGAAGCTCAAGAAGAAAGGGTATGAAGTTCTCTACATGGTTGATGCAATCGACGAGTATGCTATTGGCCAGCTCAAGGAGTTCGAGGGAAAGAAACTTGTGTCTGCAACCAAGGAAGGCTTGAAACTTGACGAGTCTGAGGACGAGAAGAAGAAAAAGGAAGAGCTAAAGGAGAAGTTTGAAGGACTGTGCAAAGTGATCAAGGACGTTTTGGGAGACAAAGTGGAGAAGGTTATTGTCTCGGACCGTGTGGTTGACTCACCGTGCTGTCTTGTGACGGGCGAATACGGCTGGACAGCAAACATGGAGAGGATCATGAAAGCACAGGCCTTGAGAGATAGCAGCATGGCTGGGTACATGTCGAGCAAGAAGACGATGGAGATCAATCCAGAGAATGCAATCATGGAGGAGCTGAGGAAGAGAGCTGAAGCTGATAAGAATGACAAGTCGGTGAAGGATCTCGTTCTTCTCCTCTTTGAGACTGCCCTTCTCACATCTGGATTCAGCCTGGACGAGCCCAACACTTTCGGAAGCAGAATCCATAGGATGTTGAAGCTTGGACTGAGCATTGATGAAGATGATTCTGTTGAAGCTGATGCAGAGATGCCTCCTCTTGAAGATGACGCTGATGCTGAAGGGAGCAAGATGGAAGAAGTTGATTAAAAAGTTGAACAAGGATTGCAGTTAAATAATGGGTTTTTTTTTTGTTACTTTTCTCTTGTTTCTTTTTATCATTTGGACCTGTTATCTCAAGTTTTTTTTCTTTCTAGAGTACTATTAGCGATTTCTCCGTTATGTTATGCTGTTATGCTTCAAGTAAGAAACGGTTTTTTCTGGCAACTCGACTGGTATTTTGCAAGGGCTTCTACTATCCTTAGAAGTGATGATAGGGGCAAGTACTATACAATCTAAGTTTGATAAATGTTTGCTCTATGCAACTGCGATATTGAGCTAAAACTCCATGTTAATGTATGAGCTTTGAATCTGTTATTTGGGTAGAGGTTTGTAGTCATGGGGTCAAGTTTCGCAGATTGCTTTACATACGACATACATTAGAAAAACAAAGGAATTTTTCGTATTTCGCTTCACAAGAAAGAACTCAACCAAACAAAAAAGAAGAAAACCACAAAGTCTTGCTGCTTGTCTTTTTCTTTTTTTTATGTTCAGGTATCTTCAACCTGAGAATGGAACACAAAGCTTGGAAACGTAGTCGTGATATCCCTGCAAGCACGGACACAACAAGATACCTTTATCCATTACATATCACCGAGTAAGACATAGAAGCAATTCTCTTGTACTGATTCAATCAGTCTAGGTTACATAAACAGAAACTCACTTGAGATACTGAAGTGTCATGTTCTTGAGAAGGCTGGGATGTCGAAGAACAAGGCTTCTCCACTCTTCCTTATCGATCTTTCCATCGTGTTTTGTGTCTGCTTCTTCAAACGTCTACACAATCAAAAACTCAGGATAATTATTTCAACTAAAATGGTATTGGTCTAAAAGGAAAAAAAAAAGGTAACTAACTAACTAGCTTACCTTGTCGATGATATCCTCAATGACAGTATCCTTCAAGTTCATTCCAGATTCAGCAAGCGTTGCCACAACCATTTGTTTCAGCTGTAACATGATGTCGTTGTAGTGTCATACATGGTTGTTTATGAAGCTATTTGAAAATCTATACAGGCTTTTACCTCTTGCCGTTCAATGAATCCTTGCTGTTTAAGATCATATAGCTGAAATGAAACTGCAAAGACAAATATATATAAGTTGCATGAATCTGAAACCAAATCAATGGGGATAATCTCTTTCAACAAAGCTATGAGGGACGTACAGTGGATTTTGTCATCTATAGGCGCATTTGGGTGAAAGACAGAGAGAGCACGAGCAAACTCCTCAAACCCGAGAATTCCATTATGCTTTGTATCAAACAAATCGAAAACCTATAAACCAAATCACCTATGTCAGCGTTATTTTCCAACTTGATCTTAGACTAAAACTGATGATGAAGAAGAAGAAAGAAACATTACTCGATCTGCAAACAAGCTCTCTTTTTTATTTGTCTTAAACAAAGCCAACTGAAACTCTTCCTGATACAAAAGTTTTTAAGACAAGAGGTGAATTGACTACAAGAAATGACCAAAAGGATCACAGAAGCAAAGCTCTACCTTGTTGATTAGGCCATCGTCAATCACAGCACTGCTGATTTTCTTAAAGAGCTCATAAAGAGCTTCTATTTCACTAACACTAACTGCAACAGAAACAAATTCACGAATGATGATCATTCCTCTAATAGTACTTCCTGAGAATCAAAAATAAAAAGAACAGAGAAGCTGAAAGCGTACAAACAGTTTCTCTGGCAAGCAGTTCAGGGTCACCAAGGCCACCAGGTTGTTTATACAAATCAAGATCAAAACACCCTAAAACAGAGGTGCATAAATGCTTGAAACCGTCTATGCACTGCGCCATGATACAAGCTTATGCAAATCAAAACTCTTCATCCCTGCATATATATAAATTAAATAGAAAGAAAATAAAAAAAAAAAATTCCCAAGTGAAAAGCATAATCATATAAAGAGATATAAAAGGATAATCACCTTTAAACCATTTCCTAATATACGTCTGAGATTATCTGCAATGTAAAAAGAAGACCAGATGAGATGAAATCTTTTTGGCAAAAGAGCAGCAAAAAAAGATGTTTATGTAGTAACACACACACAACTTGAAAAAAGTTAAGAGAGGAAGATAAGTCAAAGAATATTGCATATAACTCTCAAGTCCAATAAAAAAAAGGAAACAAGACATTGCTTGCACACTAGAAACTCTAGCCACTTTGTCATTATTACAAGATGATTACTTTATGTCCACACAAACAGAAACGAAGCTATCAGTCATATTGAGAAGAGATAAAAGAACATAATAAAGAAAAAGTGTTAAAAAAGTTTAATCCCCTCTTCACTCAAGCAAAGCATCAACCAAGTTTTTTTGTTTTTATTTTTCCTTATTTAAACATCACAATTACGAAACAGAGTTTCAAGAGTTAAAACTAAAATAATAGTTATCACGAATCGAAAAAACAATTGCGATTGCGAGATGATGATATGGATGGAAATAAAAGAAAACATGGATCTATATCCCAGAATCATTCCGGTTCGCATATACAACCCAAAGCTGATTCAGAGATAGAAGCACGTTATGTAACTTAAATAATCAGTAGATAAACTGAATTTTTGTTTGGCAGATTAAGAGATGAAAATTTACTGATTTATGATGCTTTGATTGACTCTCAATCTCAAGGCGGCTGGAAGGTGGGAGATTGGTAAAGGTGGAGGCCGGGAGGGAGACGATTCTGTAATAAGCAGAGAAAGTTAAAAAGAAAAGGAATAAAATAACCTGACAAATCGTTGTTTTAGCATTAACTAACTTTGTTTAAAAAGTTCAAATCAGTTTAATTATGCTGTTGATACAGTTGTTAAGCCACGAAGGAGTGAGTGTTTATAATAATTTAATTTAAGACGAAGAAGAAGAAGCTGCAAACATGTCACACGTCGTATCTGTGTCAATAATGCTGTATTTCATTACACAACGTCGTTCTCAGTCGAGGCTAAATTTGAACTCCTTGTCAGAACCGTTTAATTTTTTTTGGTTTGATTATTTTTTTTTGGTTTGGTTAGGCTTTTAATTCCGGTTAACGTAGTAATCTTCAAGCTGACTGGAACCAGTGAACCACCACCAGTGACTGAATCGAACAACATCCATTTGATGTGATTACGAAAATTTGATTACTGCGGAGACTATCCATATGGAGAATTTTGATAATTTCGGAAAATGTAACAAATTTTAACGAAATTGGGTACATCCGGTACGAAATCGGGTCGACCGGAACCCGGTTAAGTGCGGATCCAATTCCACTGTCGTTAACAAACCCGCACAAAAACAGAGTCTGATCTCTCAGAAAGTTTCTCAATTGTTTAGCGAGTGGGGGGAATTCAAGAAGACTGACTCAGTGAGTCTCCGATCGAGTCAGATGGGGACGGGAACTAACGGAGAATTAAAGTATGAGATCTCACAGAACGCATACATTAAACTCGTTCTCCACTCGCTGCGACACAAGACGACGTCGGTCAACGGAGTCCTCGTAGGTAGAATCAACCCTAAGGACGAAAGCATCGTTGAGATCTCCGATTCAGTGCCGCTCTTTCACTCCAACCTCTCTCTCCTTCCTCCTCTCGAAATCTCCCTCCTCATGGTCAGTAATTAAAAGTCTTAATTTACTCTTGTTTCTATTTTTTAACATTATAGTAAATTTTTAGATCACGACATTGTTGTCTGAAAGAGATTTATTTATTTGTCTGAATCTGAGATTATGAAGATTCAGATATGTTATTTTTTTTTTTTTAATGTGTTTAGATAGAGGAGCATTACGTGGCGCAAGGATTGAGTATTGTTGGTTACTTTCATGCCAACGAGAGGTTAGATGATGTGGAGCTCTCTGGTGTGGGTAAGAACATTGCTGATCACATCTCTCGCTACTTCCCTCAGTCACCCATTCTCTTGGTCTGAATCTATTAATCCTTTTACTTTTCGATCACAGCAAGTTTATTGAAGCACTAGGTTTTAACTATCTTATGTTTTGCTGTTTTGTAGTTGAACAACAAAAAGCTTGAAGCCTTATCAAAGGGTAATGATCGAAGCCCTGTGATGCAGGTTTGTATATTTCTAATCAGGAAAACGTTTTTTAGAAGCTTTGTATGATTGGATATGAGTTTTAGATGTTAGTTAAGTACGGAACATATATATCTACACCAGTATAGCTTCTTGCCATTTGAAAGTATAGTTTTCTTATTGCTATATACGAAAATACTATTAATAATTAGAGATACCGTCTTTCAATTAAGCGACTGAGAAGCTAGAGTTTTGTAGTATTTGCTAGTTGGCTCTTGTCAACGTTCTAATATAAAACATGGCCATACTTAGCTGATTACTTGAATTGTGCTAGTAACATTCTTGGCACCAAGCTTATATTGTCCTTTTAATCGAACACATTTCTCGCCCTTTTCTTTTGGTACGCAGTTTTCGTTTGCTGGAGTTAATAGGTCAACTTTTTCCATTTTATTCGTTTAGTAATTCTTTATGTTGTGTCTATACTCTAGCTTTGTGTGAAAGATGCTTCCAAGAACTGGAGAGTGGTTGGAGCTGATGGAGGAACCAAGTTACTCTTAAAAGAGCCATCGGCCAATGTTGTTTTGTCAGATTACATTTCTTCTGAGAAATGGAAGGACGTCGTAGATTTTGATGATCATCTTGATGATGTCACCAAGTAAGTTACATACACACGAGCCCATAGAAGTAAAACTTTATGTGCATGACAGTAATATCTCACTTGTTATATCCACTGCAATTGCAGGGACTGGCTAAACCCTGGACTTTTCAACTGAACACGGGTATGCATGCAATCTAGCTAATTAGTGTTTTGCTTTCTCAGACCCTTGTTTACTATTTCCCTTAAATCTTGTTCAAGTATTATCCAGAGCTTACAGAACATAGCTCAGTTTACTTTTTTTTTTTTTTAATTGGTAATCATTTGAATGATATCCTTTGGGGCTTGTTCTCGTGATCTCTTTGGTTGCACTTTGACTAATTAGTTGGAATGAAAGCTCTACTTTATTTGGCTGTTGTTGCTCTTAAACTTGCGAAGTACATAATTAAATCTTTAAGAACATGAAACCAAATCTAGTATTTTACATTGCCTGAATCGCTAAACATCTTTGGGACAGGGTTTTGAACATATAGCGATCATTAAAACATTTTTTTTTAAATATCGACATTAACCCATTTGGGCATCTGCATCAACCTTAAAACACAGGACAGCCTTCAATAACAACACCTTTAGCTGTCGGGCAGTGCGCGAGAGGGCAATGGTCAGAGTTCTCAAGCCCCCACCAATCAGGTATGCTTATATCATTGTTCTGAAACGCAAAGAATATCAACACTCCCATGATCGCAGTACCTGCATCAAGCGCTGCAGAGAGGATGTAGTTGTGCCTCGCCCACCAACCTTTAAACTTCCTGAAGATGTAGTAGTTGAACACAACCCCAACAATGGTCCATGACCAGTAATGCACAGCCTTGGCTTGTGGCATTGGGCTCACTGCTGAGAAGATCAAGGGGATGTGGATAAGTTTGAGCCATTTCTTCTCTGGGAACTTCTTGGATAGGTACCAGAAGGGAACTGGTGCCAAGATACCGATGAGGAAGAACCAGTTCATCCCTGGGTAGATACCTTCTTTGGTAAACATTCTCCTTGGACCGATCACTCCCCATATGATCGATGCATTGTAAAACACTTCATCTCCAGGACAAGTCCATGGACTACCCACTGGGAGCAAATCCGTGTTACATATGTTCTCCACGGAGGAAATGAGCCACCAGGTTGTTCCGAAGCAGACGGATGATGAAACCACGGTTGCAACAAGCTGGACGATGAACATAGATCTTGGAGGAATCTTCATGTAGTGACCAAGCTTGAAGTCTCCCACGAAGTACAAGGCTTGAGACATACTAATGTATCCGTAGGTCTTGAAAGACACATTGGCTAGTGGCTTTCCTGGGTATAAGTAACCGATGATCAGTTCTGTTATAACATTAAGACCCATCTGCTGGTTGGTAGTTGCTTGGATAACTCCGATAGGCAATGTGAAGAACATGGCGATGGCACATGCGAGTATAAGTCCCCACCATGGAAGCTGAAGCTGCTTGTCAAAGCCCTCACAAGCGTAGAGTGCCAGAGCAAAGGAGATAATGAGAATTGCGATGAACCACCATTGAGGTACTGCTTGATAGTTCTTCTTCATCAGTCTTGAATGCACATCTCCGAACTTGTCCTTTGTTGCTGTCGTTGCCTTCTTCCACATTCCCCATATAAACCTTGAGTCACAAGAAACACAAAAGAAGCTTAGAGAGATGGAGAGAGAGAGAGAGAGTTATCATCAAAATGAGTTATTCGAAAGATGTATCAAGATCCCTTACTTTCCATCATAGAGGGCGACATGAGAGATGGTAGCGGAAAGAGAACCAAAGCTGAGTCCATAGAGCAAAGCAAACATCACACTCAAGTAGAGCTTGCTGTAGTCATTGTAAGCATCAAGATTGATATCGAAGTCCTTCTCGTTGAGGATACGGGTAATGTTGTAGGACTGACCAGTCATATCAAACGTTTTGGAGGTGTAGAAGGGAAACTTCTGCGCATCGTAAGCATTGCTCCAGTAAAAGATAGGTAGAACAATGTACAAGAAGATGAAGAATCCAGCAAAGAAGTTGGCTATGGCGAAGAATGGCACAGCCAGTGGACTGCCTAAGAACCCAGCAACCGTGGACCAGTCAAGACCAAAGGAACCAATGCCTAAACCTTTGAGCCCTGAACCGAGTATCTGAGCGGTCACTGAGCTTTTCCAAATCCAGCAAACGAATGAGATTGCGGAGATGGAAGGGAAGAGGAAACCAGGGATGATGTAGTAAGCAAAGCTCACGCCGAAGACAACCAGGAAGAACTTTAGTCTTGTTTGTTGTCCTTTTTGTAGGTCCTCCTTCTCATGTAAAGCTCTGTTACACAAGTCAAAATATTTAAAACCAAGTCGCGTGACTTAGAAACAGAAATTTTAAGCAGGTGAAGAGTCATAAACCAGTCGATAAATGGGATAAAAACAAACCTAAAGAGTGAGACTTGAACCAGGTTCGACGGCCACCACATGTAAGGAGATTCAACGAGGAACTTCCTGAAGATTCCTGCCCATCCATATCCCAACAACTGCATAAAAATGATTGTCAAATATCAAGAACCGTGAAAAATAGGTTCGTTTAGTATTCAAACGATTACCCTAAATATGCTGTTTTTAAAATGTATACGTGCGAGAAAAGTCATCAAGAAGCATAAAGATTGCTTATTTCACCCACTAAAGTAATTTTATTATAGAACATGCAAAAATATAATATCAAGAAATAAAAACAAGGGTCATATTCTATGGCGTTTCTTTGGTATTTGTTGGTATTTCACAAAAAAAAAAATTTAAAACATGCACAAAAAAATCAGTAAATAACAACAAGTGTGATTATATGGTATCTCTCTTTAAAACAATTTTCTTTGGTATTACACCCATAAAGAGAATTTTTAAATTATCAAGAAGCATAAAGATTTGTCTTTTTCATCCATTAAATAAATTTATTTTTTTTAAAGAAAAATAATAAAAATCATAAAGATTTGTGTTTTCTTTTTCCTTTTCATTTGTTATTATAGTATTCAACAAGAAAAATAAAAGTAGTTAATGATCATTTAATACCTGAGTGGTTTGTGTGAGCAACATAGCAGCGGCGACACTGAGTTGACGGTGGTAAAAAGCTTTAACAATGGTTACAATACTGGTCGCATAAGCACCTCCAGCACCGGTATTAGCAAATATCGAGATAAGAACATGTTCCTTCACATTAAACGGACCAGGATTAAACGACCACGACCAGTTCGTCCCAGGAAACCCAAATTTCTTTGTCGGAAGCGTAGCAGCCATGAGTTTCCCTAAGGGAAGTGTCACGATCTGAGCCGCAACTGAAGACACCCAAAGCTGGTTCGACCGGAAACTAAAGAACTGGTTCACGAACGCTAGCAATATACAAGAGAGAAGACCAAGAAACCATGTTCGGAACGTTAGAACCGGTAGTGTTGCATCGTCGGTTATCGGAACAGTTAACCGGACTTCTTCAATCGGACTATCATTCTCTTCCTCTTCTTCACCTGCACGTCAAACCCAATCCCAAAATCTCTTAACCGGTTAAACCACTGTAATAAGAGCAAAAATCGAAACTAAACCGGTATAAACCGAAATACATTACCGTGGATAACGACTTTGGACTCATGAGGGTTGTCCTCGGAGGGTTTGGGTTCGTCGAAAACGCTCGTCATTGTTTTATCTTCAAGCTTCTTTTTCCCGTCCTTCACGATGGTTTTTTCTTGTATTGAAACCGAGGTGTGTCTCCGGCGACGGTGACCGGAACTCTAGTCCCCGATAACCGGTCGGAATTTCTTAAAAAGAAGCCTGAAAATTAAATAAAGAACACGATAGCGTTTACTTAGTCCTACACTTTCCCCTGTCCAAATGCATCCGTGTATGAATGTTTCCTACATATATAAACTAAAAACAACTTACACCACACGATCTTTTTGTCTTTTTACCGTTTTACTATAATTAAAGTTGAGGATGCCGTGAATAAAGGATCCGTTTTCTCTACCTTTTGAATTATTTTGAAACGGTTGTTAATATTCTTGACGCAATAAAGATTATCTAATTCAGAAACTTGGAGTCTTCTACTTAGTCAACTATAGATTCTGCATATGATTAGTATCTCAAAATAATCATATATATAGACTAGAATCTAAATCAAAGTATTCATTTAGATAGACAACACCTTTGGGGAACTTACTTGGGTTGCAACTCTAAGGTCTTGGACAAGCCCTAACTTGCGATTACAGAAATGCTCTTGGAGAAAGTTGTGAATAGAGTCCTTTGAGAAGATGCATATTTATATAGGAGGAGAAGAAAAACTTATCTTACAGAGGTATATTTCACAGTCATTGCAGATTCTTTTAATTCTATAAATAGATTTCAATATCGTTACGTTTTGATTCGATTTTCTATTTTTGAACAATTGTATGCATGGTTAGTTCTAGCGCATTGTCTAGGTTCATTGTTAAGTTTGCTGTTGCCAGCTCTACTGAGTTTGACTATGATTCATCTTTGGTAAGAAAGCTTCGATCGACCTGGCAGATTTAGGTCCCTAACCAAATATGTAGATACTCTTTTGGACGTAAAATCAAACTAGTCAACTGAATTTATGTCCGTCCTGATCCTGAATGTTAGGAGTTTGATATTTCAAATACACGATTTTGTCTATCACCTAAAACTTTTAGAATATCTAATAGAAAATTTTATATGTCATAAAAAAAAATTATTCAATTTTTTGTCATCAAAAAAATATTATTATTCTTTTTAAAAGATTATATATAGAGTTTGAACTATCTTAAAAGTACGGATGTTAAGGACTCTCTAATCATTTAAAAATAAACTAGGTGTTTTGCCCGCACATTTGGCCATAATTTTCGTACCATTTATTATTAGTCTATATTTTATTAATTCAAGCAAATATAATAAGTTATGATTTATGTTTTAAAATTAATTATAAATGACAACACTCACATAACAAAATATTTTTAAAATATATTTTTACAAATGTGTTGCTTTAATTTATTTTAACTATAGTTTTTTATATCTTAATTTTTTATTTCTATAATAAAATATATATTTTCAAGATAACAATATAATACATAAGAAGTATCTTATTTTCTCAAAATATAATTTTTAATAGAAATTCATTTTTATTTTATAATAAATTCTATATGAAATTATTAAAAATATGACAAATAATCAAAATTATCTAAATCATGGAGAAATTACAAATCAGATAATTCATTTAAATTTTTAATAGAAAATATATGTTCAAGATAATAATCTAGTACATAAGAATTATTTTTTTTTAAAAAAATATAGTATTATTAGTATACATTCGTTTTATTATTTAATAAATTATATATGAAATTATTAAAATATGATAAATAAGCAAAATATAAAACCATGGAGAAGTTGATAAATGAGCATTGCTTTCTTTATATTTAACTATTAATATTTCAATTTAATTTTTAATAATTTCTATGATAAAAGAATATATTTTAAAGATAACAATATAATACATAAGAATTATCTTATTTTCTAAAATTAATTATTAACAGAAATTTGTTTTATTATACAATAAATTATTCATAAAATTATTAAAATATAACAAATAAACAAAATTACAAAAATCATGGAGAAGTTACAAATTAATCAGTAAATTCACTTGAATTTTATAATAGAAAAATATATTTTTAAGATAACATTTTAATAAAAAATAATCAACATAGTTTCTAAAATATAATATTATTAATATAAATTCGTTTTTATTAAATAATAAATTGTATATGAAATTGTTTAAATAAGGTAAATAAACAAAATTACCTAAAATCAATGAGAAGTTGACAAATCATCAAATTTACCTCTTATATAATAGTATAGATAAAATATTGATTAAAAACGTGGGATCCACATATTGAAGGAATTTCAATTAACATGTAATTTTTGACAAAACAACTATATTACATACGTGTGTTGTCAAAAAAGATATAAACTATATTACGTATGTGTGTGTGTAACACACTATATGGAGCTATCAGCTTATCGTGGACTTGGACTTTGACATGTAATTGGGACATATCCCATTCATCGAATTAGGATATATAATTAAATTAAAATGATATTAACATAGATATATAGCACAATTTTAATATGTATATTTATTAAATGAGGTTTCTACTCATATGATTTTTTTCATATTTGTATAACAAAGTTTTACTCTTTAATTTTTTTGTCAAAATATAAAATAAATTCGTATATTAATTGGTAAAAATTAAAGTCTCCATTAGTGCACCATGGAGGTTTCATTTTCTTGTTAAAAATGAAACTTGTGCTTCTCATTTCTTTTTCTATAAAATTCCTTGTTAGCATTATAGAAAGTACACATATTTTTGGATTAATATATCTCCCACTTAGAGTAGTTATGTTAGTATTTTTTTCTGTCAGAGAGTACAACAAAAAAAGAGGTTCATTAGCTTCTATTCTGAGTGATGCGGAATAGTCGAAGTGTGATTGTATCATGGGATTCTGATTGCGTAAACACCATTCTACTACCGGCAATTAAAGAATTAAGCAAAAAGTGTCTCGCCTCCACACAAAATCGTTCTTTGTTCATCATATTTTGGTATCAAGTATTGTATATTTTATTTCTGGTTTTTGTCATTATATAAACAAATTATTCAGTTTGGCATATCGTAGAAATCATGATCCTACAATCTTAATTCTTTAAATTTTGTTATCGTACTATTTGTTTAGTGTTTTTTTTTTCATGAAAACAGGAATTTGGGAATTCATTATGATGGAAAATCAATCTATTTCCATCAGATTATTGATTATGGTTTAAAAGTTCTGCAAATTTTAAATTAATCTAAGCCATTAAATTATTTTTTGAATTTTTGCAACGGATTATAACTTGAAAAAGTTTCATGAGTTATTTTCTTACATATTTTTAGAATTTGTCACAACTGAAATTTATAGGTTATTCTAAAAGACTTTCAGCTTGCTTGTGATTAGCATATAATTAATTTGCAGTTAGTATTTCAATTGTCTATTTGTTCTAGCTTATAGAATTATCAATAATTGATTTCCAAACTTAATTTACTTTGTATAAGTTATTTGGCAATTGAAATAATTTACTAATTATCTAAATGTTTGAATAAGAAAGATGGTAGACATTTTTTCTTATTGGTATATGTTCTTTAATGTGACTTGGACTGGTTTAATGCTTTTTCCGTTAATCCTTTGACCTTTGCTTTAATTATGAAGAATGCCTAACGTTTTTGTTTAATGGTTACAGATTTTCTTCTTTATGGGTGTAATTTAATTTAATTATCAAGCACATGGATGACAATAAGAGAAAAAAATTAAGTTTCAAGTATGGTGATACCATGGGTATAAAAAAACATTTGTATCTCTAAAAGATCAAATGATATGGATGGAAATGGATTCGTGAGTCAACGTTCCAAATTAAGTTAGGGAGAAGTCTGCCACATATAAATCATTTGCCATTAGAAATAAAATGTTGTTGACACTTATCAAAACATTTATATTGTCAGTGCTTTAAATGCGAGTCGTATAAAGATTGATCATGAAAAAAAAAACAATGAGAACTTTCAGATCAGTATGATAGAAACTGACATGAATACTATAGTTTCAAAGTCAATATGGTTGAAAGAAACCAAAGAGAGTTGTGGTTTTGATGCTACAAATATATCTTGTAACGATATGTATATTTACTAAAAGCAAAAATATGATTTTGAAAAAATCCAAAGCACACAAGTTGGATTTTAAAATCAGCTTGAGAGAACTATGAAAAATAGTTGTATGTAAAATGTTAATTTCTGAGAATGAAATACATTTTTGAGAAAATTGTAATAATTTTCAAAATTACATTTTATTCATTTAAATCTAAAGAAGTTGTAGAATAATTTTTCTAAACTTTTAAGAGATGTTAAATGCAGATATACACGTTGTTAAGTAATTTCAAGAAATGTGGGGGAAGTTTTGCTTACCTTATAAAGTTGGCAAGATGCCAAATAAATTTAGTGATAATTATCACAATATGATTTAAAAAAAAAAAAAACTAGTGTCAAGCACTGAGTTTTATGTATAATAGTTGTTTGTATCTTCAAATGTGACAAAAATTATTAGTCAAATTGATCTTAATTGGACTAATCTGAATATATTATGTTCATTATGAATGACAACATATGATCCTTATATTAAAGGTATGTCATAAGATCAAATATTTATATCATCAAGAAGAATGGGTGAACGCCTATGAACTAAGATGAGATTTGGCGGTAACTCTACCTAAATGATTGGAGATCCCAAGAAATAGGTTCACAGAGACAATTAAGTCAAATTAAATCTGCTCAAAGCACTGTAAGACTTCGGTGTATACCCAGTTCCTAGATGATTATACAATGCTACATATAAGGATTACATGATAAGCATTTGCTTTTAATGATTTATATCTATTGTTTTGAGATATGAATAGAGTAGTACGTCCATGATACTCCTCTAAACAAAACTTGTGGAAAATCACTTTATGAATATGAAATGAAACCGTTTCTAGGAGAATGAAAGAAATACTATATTCTCAGACATGTTGACGGCCAAAATGATTGGGTAACAGAGATTGGTTTAGTAGAGGTATTATATGGATTACTTAAGAATAATTGGGTAATAGAGATTTTACTAACATCATTCACATATTCTAGATAGTTCTTTTTACTGGAGGTCGATCTTCTAGAAAAGTAGATTAGACAAAGTAAATGTACTTTCTACAGTGTAAAATAAAAGATCATAAACTAAAATAGAATGCTATGATTTTTGTCCATTTTTTTAGTAATGATAAACTATGAATTATTTCTTTTAGAATTAAGCATTAAGAATAATTCATGAGGTGTTTCTGCTACATAATTAACAGAACCATTATAACTAGTATGATTGCGTAGAGTCGACATCGATATCAACTAATTAAGCGTGTACGCATGCATGAAAATATATTTTCTCCGATTTGCCAAAATGCTAGAAGATAAGGTGGTGCTTTCGTGTTTTGGAGATCATGACAAATGTGAATACAACTTCCGTTGAATTGAGGATAGAGGCGATCCTAAGAGCATCCACATCAATGAACCCCCTCTTGGGGTTCATTGAATTAATTTTTTATTATTAAAATTTTTCTATTTTCTTTTTGAATTTTTTTTTTAGAAAAAAAAAGAAAAAAAAAGGACCTAGACTAATCCCGGACCGACACGTGTTGAACCTTAGGAGAGAGGGGTTCACCCGGGTGAACTTTAGGAGAGAGGGGATCATAGATTTTTATTATTTTATTATTTTATTTTTTTGATTTCCGTGTGAACCCCCCATTTGAACTCTCAATGGGGGTGCTCTAAATTTGCATACCCCTTACAAAATTCAAAATTATATCTATCATATTATTAGAAAATAGAGTTATGCAAAAACAATTTTTGCTGTAACAGTTATATATTTTGTTTGAATATAAATAACTAATTTACATTGTTTGAATATCTATATTAGACATTAGTATAACTAGTTTATTTGTATAACATTTTAGTTTGATATTCTTTATTTTAATTTAAACATATAAATATTCATTATAAATATTTATAATCTCTTAAAAATTGTGGGCCCTATAAGCCCCCACTCTAATGTTTCATGTGTAAACATTCATGACCGGCATTGACTGAGGGAGCGGTAAGTTGACAAATCACAAATCCAAAACAGATTGTTGGCAAGTCTGAATAGTATTCCTTTTCTCACTCATAAAATGACAAAGACTATATAGCAACTTGTCAGAAGAAGACGATGAACAAGTTCAATAATTGGAGTATTGGACCATGCCATGAAAATCCAATATGCTAAGCCAATCGATGAACTTTCTTTATGGAAAACCACTATGAATGAACTTCAACTTCTTTGATGCCACATTATATTGGAACTACATATTCTGAGTTCTCTTCTCACGATACGAAAGATGAATCTATAAGTGACATGCAAAATTTTACTTTTTTTTTTGCAAAATTTTGTATGGATACTCTGCGATTTTTTATATTGGTTTCCTAGGAACTTTTGGTATCGAACATATTTTGTTGTTTGTTTTGCAAGTTCAAAAGCTCTCAAAAGATTAAGCAAAAAAAAGAAAGAAAAGAAGTTCAAAAGCTCGCATGTACCAATAAGATACAAACTACTCACTTTAAATACGTGGTTCTAGTAGATGTAATGCTTCTTTTTGTTTGTTTCTCACTTTTCCACTGAGCCATCTCAATCAAAGACATACAACAAATTTAGAGGATTCTGTTTTCTCTGACTCTCTTTGTTTATTTTAAACGTGATCTGAATTTGTTGTTGTATATAAAAAGATTTTAAGGAATGTATTGATATATCCACAGTAGCTTGAAACTGTGTTTATATGGCTGAAAAATGTCAAGAACCAGTCATATAGTTTACAAACTTAGAGCATCTTTATCTCTAAACCTCACTTAAGGGTTTCTTCAAAAAATAAAACAAAAATTTAATTTTTTTTCTTTCTGCTTAAAAAAAAATAAAAAAATTAAGAAACACCAATTGCGGACCGCCACGTGTCAGTGGGGCCTGTGAACAGTGTCAAAAACCCCATCGTAAGCAGTCTTGAAGTCATGCCTTTGGAGACTGATTTTTGTGCTTTAATGGGGTCATATATTGCTTTTTGGAGAGAAAGCCATTTTGGAAACCCCAATAATGGTCCTCTTAGTTGATTAACCCTAGAAAACTACGTGATAAATTTCACTTGTGGTGGATAAGCTAATGAATTGTTGATGAGATAGAATGGTATCATGATTCATGGTAGTCTAGTGGTTCGTGTTTATATATGTTAGAGAGAGTCAATGAATGACAGATTTCAAGTAGTGATAATTAAAATAAGCCCGAATTATTTTAACGGGCCTACCAAGGCCCATTAATAAATATTACATTCCATAAACACTAAACTTCACATGTACAGTACTTGTTAGTTGCCTTCTACATATTTGATTGAGTGTTAAACCTTGACCTCGAGAAAAATCCTAATTCAAACCTCTGCCATGGTTCTCACTCGCGGCAACAGAAAGGCGCTGAAACCTCACCCCTCCGCTCAAGAACCTCTCGCAAAAACCTCCATTGACATTGAAGAAGGCGGGGAAACCTTCATTGACATTGAAGAAGGGAGCCAAGTTCCAGAAGAAACCTCCATTGAAGAAGTAGGAGAATGACATCGTGGAGGAAGAAGTTTCCGATCTAGAATCAGAAGAGATAGATAAATCCGATGATGGAGAGAAAGACTTCTCTGATGAAAACGACGACGGTGAAGAGCTATTAGGTGATGACTTTCTAGAAGGTAGCAACGAAGATGAAGAGGAGGAACATTCGGATTCAGATTCAGATTCTGATTCCGATGAAGACGACAACGATATTCTGAAGGAATAAGAAGCAATTGACAGAGAGAAAGCAAAAGAGGAAGAAGATGCTGATGCTGAGCTTCTTGATTTCAACAAGGAAGTTGGACCTGATGAACACGATACCTTTCGCCTACCTACTGAAGAGGTACACAGTTACACTATTCTTGTGGAATGAGAGACAATAACTAACTGCTTTTTTTTTTGTTATCCCTCAGGAGCTTGAAGAAGAATCTCGTGGTCCACCACATCTTTCTCTTCTACAGAGTGAATCAAAGAGAGTCAGTTACATTCTTCAAATTACTATTGGTGTGATTTTTTTTGAGTTCTGATTGGATTTTATATTGTTTTCAGTCGTTAAAGCTTAATTTGTCGAATTTTAATGTTTGAGGCCAAACAGAGCCAGCAGGAAAGAATGTGTTGAACAGCTCCAATCTGATCTTGCTTCTTACTATGGCTATAACAGTTTTCTTATTGGAGCTTTGTTCGAGGTTAGTTTTCTTTATGATGATGTTGCCAAATGCTCTTTACTTATGGATGTTGAATTTGAGATTTTTTTCTCTTTTCAGTTGTTTCCTCCTGTTGAACTTATAGAAATTATTGAAGCTTTTGAAAAGCAAAGGCCTACATCTATAAGCAAAGGCCTACATCTTATAGGGTGAACTTGGTTTGTGCTTTGATGATGGGTTTTAGCTTTTGATGTTCTGCAACTTAGTCATGTTGTTTGTTTTGTTCTTAGACTCGAAGACGGGATCTTGCTGATGTGCTTTTGAACAGAGGGGTCAATCTAGACCAATTAAGCAAGTGGTCAAAAGTAACTACTTTGTTTTCTTATATTGCTAGTCATGTTTTATAATTGTCCCCCTGGTTAACATGTTATAAGTATTGTAGGTTGGACTTGTTGTTTATGATTCACAAGTGCCAATTGGTGCCACTCCTGAATATTTGGCTGCTTACTACATGGTTAGTGATCTTCTGACCCATATGTACTCCATTAAATGGTAAATGTACATTGTTTGCTTAAGAATGTACTTGGTGAATCTGCAGCTTCAAGGTGCTAGTTCGTTTTTGCCTGTGATGGCCCTTTCCCCTAGAGAGAATGAGCGGATTGTGGATGTAGCGTAAGTTACCATCATCTATTAAATTGTAGACGTAGCTGTGCTTTATTATCACGTCTGTTCTGTGAACGTGTCATATTTTATGATGTAAGTTTGAGCTGGTTGCTTTGAAACTTAAAATCAAACTGAACCGAGTGTCTGACTGTTTCGTTATGCATGACTTTATTACAAGATTTTACTCGATGCAGTGCTGCTCCAGGTGGTAAAACAACTTATGTTGCTGCTCTAATGAAAAATACTGGTATGCCTTCATTGGGTTATTATCCCAATATTAAAGTTGATTATGTTGATGTCTATAATGTTTATTTTGGTTTAATTAAAGTTAAAATTATGTTGTAACCAGGCTTGATATTCGCGAACGAGATGAAAGTACCTAGGCTCAAGTCGCTAACTGCCAATCTGCATCGCATGGGGGTCACAAATATCGTAGTTTGTAACTATGATGGAAGAGAGGTTAGCTTCTTGAGCATTTCATTGTTTCATTAACTTAATAGTTACCTTTTTACAAAACCCATAACATCTACACATGGCATGACTGAAAATTATTACACTTGTTCTTTGCTCTCAGCTACCCAAGGTGTTAGGTGATAGATCCGTTGATAGAGTATTGTTGGATGCATCCTGCAGTGGGAATGGGGTAAGAAACTACGAGCTTAGTCTCTGTTAATCCATATTTAAGGTTTAGATCGTCATAACTAAATGCTCTCTGCTACCACTGTAGGTTATTTCGAAAGATGAATCAGTTAAAACTTCAAAATCTTTGGAGGATATAAAGAGATTTGCTCACTTGCAAAAGGTATGGTAGCACCTTCTTAGAAAATGTCAAATTTATCTGAACAAACGAACTTTATATTGTCAGATAAATGCGAGTATAACCCTTTTTTAATCATGCAGCAACTTTTACTAGCTGCTATTGATATGGTAGATGCCACTTCCAAAACGGGTGGATATATAATTTACTCAACATGTTCACTTATAGTTGCTGAGGTTGGTTAATTAATACAGTTTGCCCCCCATATTTCCCTCATCTGTTTTTTGTTGTGTCCTAATATTTGCTTTTTCTTTTGTATGAAAATAATTTCTCAGAACGAAGCCGTAATTGACTATGCCCTGAAAAAGAGGAATGTTCAACTCGTTAAAACTGGACTCGAGTTTGGCCAAGACGGGTAATGCACAGATTCTATCTGTAGAGAGAGAGATATATGTAATGTACAAGGATACGTCTAACGTCTCAGAATATTTGTCTTCATCAGATATAGAAGCTTTAGAGAACACCGTTTTCATCCATCTCTAAAGCAGACTAAACGTTTTTATCCTCATGTACACAACATGGACGGATTCTTTGTGGCAAAGGTACTCTCACTTTTTACTCTGTAAATGCTCTCAGCCATGTCCTCCTTTTCGTTACTCTAGTAGTTGATATAAAGAGATGCATAACCTTACATATATTGATGTTATGCGCTTGTCTTTTTTTTCTTCTTCTTTATATAGCTAAAGAAAATGAGCAACATGAAACAATCGTCAAAGGATGATGACGAAAGGGTTTCAACCGTAAGAACAAGCTGATGTGTCTAGTGATGATGATGAAGAAGCTGAGGCAATGTATGTAAGAGATGGAGAAGCTTTCGCTTCCCAATAAGCAACCGAAGGAAACTAAAGAAAACAAGGAGAGACTTGCAAAATCAAAGGAGAAGAAGAAAGCCAAAAAAAGATGGGAAATCAAAATCTAAAGATGTTGAGAGGAAGCCTAAGAAGAAGAAGAGATCTGAATGGAAGAAGGAAATTGCTCAAACCAGGTAAAATAGATTTCTCACCTCTCATCAAAAACCATATATACTGAATGAATGAAACGCTTTTAGGCAGTCTTAGATCTTCTGCTTGACAATGTTTGAATAAACGCATTTGTAGGGAAGAGAAAAGAAGAGCCATGAGAGAGAAGTCGAAGGAGAAGCAATGATTAAGTGATAATGCATCAGACTGTATCATTTATGCTCATGGGGAGGTCTAAGAAGGTGCCACTGCTTGTTTCAAAATGTCTTTTTAGAGTAAAGTTGAGCTAGGTTCTTGAGCCAGTCACTGAATCTTCTAGTGGATCCATTCAGCTTAACTATTATTTAACCGGAAATGAAAAACTACACCCTGCGTTATATACGGTTTCCGTAAGGATTGCAAATTTAAGGTCGACTAAAACTATGTGGTTTAACAATATCGCGCATGATCGGCACAATAGGCTCCACAAATGCGATGCGTGACAAGTTACAATTTATGCATCATGTAAAGTTTTCACCAGGTTAAAAAGTTCGCTTCTAAACGATGATAGAGATTTTTCAGAAGTGATGCGGACCTCTTACATTCTCTAGTTTCATTCGATTTGCGTTCAAGCACAAAGAAGATGGGAGTTTGCGGCAAGAAAAATGAGAAGCCATTAGGTTTATCACTTCGGACACTTGGCTAATCCTTAGAGAGACTAATGTGCTGCAGAGTTAGACTCGTGGTGTCTGGTTTTCTATGGGTACTCCGTGGTTTGCTTTCATTGTGTGGCTGGCAATGAAAAACAGACTAGCTACTATGGATAGAGTTTCTCAATGGTGTAGAGGAGTGGATGTTACTTGTGTGCTCTGTAACAATGAAGCTGAAACTCGAGATCATCTCTTTTTCAAGTGTTCTTACTCTGCTCAGCTTTGGAGTAGTCTTGTTAGAGGTATTCTTGGTAATTCTTTCTCGGTGGACTGGTTGATGATAGTGCAGAAGATTCCTGGAAATGGTTTGGAGAAAAGGAGGTTATACTGTCTAAGATATGTATTCCATGCAACTATTTATGTTCTATGGAGAGAGAGGAATAGAGAGAGGATTAGAGTAAAACATGGAGAGAAGTTGATGCCTATTTTGATGATTGAGAAGTTTACAACAAAGGGATAAGGAACAAATTTAGTTTGATCAGAATGAAGGGAGGGAAGGGAATGGAAAATGCACTTCAGTATTGGTTTCAAGAGCATAAGAGAATGTGAAGGAAAAGTTGTATTTTGGTTTCAATTTTGAATTTTTAAAACAGTTCTACACTTGATGTAAAAATGTTTTTTTTGAATAAATTTAAAATTTATTCAAAAAAAAAAAAACAAAAAAGATGAGGAGATAAGGAGAGGATCTTAAAAAGGAAGGTTTCCGAAAGCAAGAGAACTAAGATAGAGCGAACGAGAGAATTCTCCAATAATGTCTCTGCAAAAATCGCTTCTATAAACCGATCCATTTCTATTAACCTTACCGATGGTTTAACAAACAACATGGAACACAATCGTCCTTTTAAGTACCAAGAACATAATAGTAAGAAAATTTAAACCATCAAAGATAGCTCCAGTCCACTAAAAAACAACAGAGATGCGTAGACAGAGATATAAGCTGGAAACAAGAACTTAGTGCTCATCGGCCAACGAAGGCAAAGGCAAAAAAAAGACGAGATGAAGCAGCTTTCGTTTCGTTCAAGCAGAACATAATCAGGAACAGAATAGTTATAGCCCCTGCAAATAACCAGTCGAGTTGCAAGAAACAGAGTTTCTTATTTGAACCAAAACAGCAACATAACACCACTTAGTTCTTACAAACCGCTAATAATACTCCAAATAATAGTTCCAACAATGAAAAAAACGAGAGAAAAACAACAGAAAAAACCCCATTATTAACTACAATCCTTGGTCAACTATTTTAATCGACTTCCTCCATCTTGCTACCTTCAGCATCAGCGTCATCTTCAAGTGGAGGCATCTCTGCATCAGCTTCGGCAGCATCATCTTCATCAATACTCAATCCCAGCTTCAGCATTCTGTGGATCCTGCTCCCGAAAGTGTTGGGCTCGTCCAGACTGAAACCAGATGTGAGAAGAGCAGTTTCGAAGAGGAGAAGAACAAGATCCTTCACCGACTTGTCATTCTTATCAGCTTCAGCTCTCTTCCTCAGCTCCTCCATGATGGCGTTCTCTGGATTGATCTCCATCGTCTTCTTGCTCGACATGTACCCAGCCATGCTGCTATCTCTCAAGGCCTGGGCTTTCATGATCCTCTCCATGTTTGCTGTCCAGCCGTATTCGCCAGTCACAAGACAGCACGGTGAGTCAACCACACGGTCCGAGACGATAACCTTCTCCACCTTGTCCCCCAAAACGTCCTTGATCACTTTGCACAGTCCTTCAAACTTCTCCTTTAGCTCTTCTTTTTTCTTCTTCTCGTCCTCTGACTCGTCAAGTTTCAAGCCTTCCTTGGTTGCAGACACGAGTTTCTTTCCTTCAAACTCCTTGAGCTGGCCAATAGCATACTCATCGATAGCATCAACCATGTAGAGAACTTCATACCCTTTCTTCTTGAGCTTCTCCAGGAATGGAGAGTTCTCCACAGCCTTCTTACTCTCACCGGTGATGTAGAAGATATCGTTCTGACCTTCCTTCATCCTCGTCACGTAGTCCTTGAGACTAGTCAAGTCATCACCGCTCTTGGTGGAGTGGTAACGGAGCAACTCAGCAATCTTGGTCCTGTTCTGAGAGTCCTCATGAATACCGAGCTTCAGATTCTTGGAGAATGCTTCGTAGAACTTGTTGTAGTCCTCCTTGTTCTCAGCAATCTCAAAGAAGAGCTCTAGGCACTTCTTCACAAGGTTCTTGCGGATGACCTTAAGGATCTTGTTCTGCTGCAATGTCTCTCTAGAGATGTTGAGAGGAAGATCCTCAGAGTCAACAATACCCTTGACAAAGCCAAGCCACTCGGGAATGATGTCCTCACAGTTGTCCATGATGAAAACACGACGGACGTAAAGCTTGATGTTGTTAGGCTTCTTCTTGGTGTCAAAGAGATCAAAAGGAGCTCTCTTTGGAATAAAGAGAACAGCTTTGAACTCGAGCTGTCCTTCAACAGAGAAATGCTTCACAGCCAAATGCTCTTCCCAATCGTTGCTGAGACTCTTGTAGAAAGCAGCGTACTCCTCCTTGGTAATCTCCTCAGGCTTTCTCATCCAAATAGGCTTCTGCTTGTTCACAAGATCCCACTCGTGAGAAACCTCCTTAATCTTCTTCTTTTTCTTCTCCTCCTTTTCTTTCTCCTCGTCCACTTCCTCCACTTTCCCTTCCTCATCCTTCTTCTCCTCCTCATCCTCATCATCAGAAATCTCCTTCTCAACAGTCTTCTCAACCCACAAGGAGATAGGGTAGCTTATAAACTCGGAGTGCTTCTTGACCAAATCCTTAAGCCTCCTCTCCTCAAGATACTCCAACTGATCCTCTTTCAAATGAAGAGTCATCTTCGTACCTCTACCAAGACTCTCCCCAGAAGTATCTCTAGTCACAGTGAAAGACCCACCAGCCTGAGACTCCCAAACGTACTGCTCATCATCATTGTGCTTGGTGGTGACAATAACCTTGTCAGCAACCAAGTAAGCAGAGTAGAAACCAACACCAAACTGACCAATCATGCTGACATCAGCACCGGCAGCCAAAGCCTCCATGAACTCCTTGGTGCCAGACCGAGCAATGGTTCCAAGGTTGTTGACCAAATCAGCCTTGGTCATACCGATACCACTATCGATGATGGTCAAGGTGTTGTTAGCCTTGTCAGGGATGATGTGAATGAAAAGCTCAGGCTGGCCATCGAGCTTGCTCTTGTCCGTCAACGACTCGAACCTAATCTTGTCCAACGCCTGTTCACACACCAGCCGCATCCAAAACAACAATCAGCATAACACACAGAACAATTGAATATACGTAAAGAGCGAAGCTCTGCTAATCTCATATAACATCAATCTAACCTAGAGGAAACTGATTAACCTAATATCATAAGAGATCGATCCACAAGAAAGGGAAAGAGAGCCGTACATCGGAGGAGTTGCTGATGAGTTCACGGAGGAAGATCTCCTTATTGCTGTAAAAGGTGTTGATGATGAGGGAGAGCAATTGGTTAATCTCCGCCTGGAATGCGAAAGTCTCGGCGTCTGCCATTGTTGTTGCTGCGGTTTGTCAGCGAGGGGAGAGCAGAGAATGAATTGATTAGATACGAGATAATGAAGCAGACAGAAGAGTTATCTATATATACTCTCATAATTAAAAACAGTGTGTTTCCAGATCCTTCTTTTTTTTTGTCGTCTCCAGATCCTTCTTTTGTTTCGAGTTTCTAGATCCTTCTCTTCTCTGTGAGATCTTTTACTTTGCTAATTTTAATCTTACATAAATTATAAGTCTTTAAAATCTAAAATCTATTTGTTAACATAATATATTTTTATTATTTTATAATTTTGACCTTATAAAATATTGCTTTAGTTTTATTTGTATATTAATTTTAAGTAATTTTAAAATTATAAAAAATATAATATATTTAAAATTATTTATTTAAATATATCCAAATATGATATCTCATTTTTAGGTGTGTTTACCTTGAGCATATTTAGGAATGGCAACTTAAGTATTGGACCGTGGGCCTGGGCTTGTAAGAGTATGGTATGGGGCGGGTTTGGGCCGAGTTATTGATTACCTGCAAAAAAAGCGGGCCTTGCGGGCCTGTGTTTGTACGGTGCTGGATTCAAAGTGGAAAAGCCCATAACACCCGCGGGATGGCCCGCATTGACCTGTTTGAAGACAAACCCACTGTGGTCCAGGACGAACGGAACGGGAAAACCCAATTGCCTTCCCTAAACATATTTGATTTGTAGTGTGTATATTTTATAACATCTTATTGCGTATCATTCTATGATTTTAATAAATGTGTTGTCATTTCATTTTTATTACTATTAACATGATTTTTTAGTGATCATGTGATAATGTACTTTTAACATTATGTATTATATTTTACTATATGATTTCTATTTAAATATTCCAATTTTCATGCATGCACTTATTTTAGAATCATTTTAATTAGATAATAAGTTTAAAGATATAAATAAAACTGTGTATGTTGTAAATTTAGACTTTTTAGTGTAACTGAGCACTATTAATTATGGAATTATATTATGATTTTATTTTATTAAATCTTTCTTTCAGTGTATTATCTTTTTATTGCGTATTTTTACATTTTTATTGTTTTATTCTTTAATTACAGAGAATTGCTATTTCCTATTTTTGTACCTTTATTCTCTATTTTCTTTGTCATTATTTAAAGGATATGGTATTTTTTAGTAGTGTATATGATATTTATATTTTTTACTATTTTGCTATAAAGAAAAAAGCATTATGAAAATATTAGTGTGACTGAAAATATTTATCCCAAATATACAATATATTTGTATGATATATATTTTTAGTCATTCTTAGTCTATATATGAAAATTTTATTTGCAAATAAGTTGTATGTTGCTGTTGTATATATCATGTATTCACTCTTTGATAATTTAATATTATATATTATTTGGATTTCATTTCAATTACTTTTTTGGATTAATTTCTAGTAAAAACTCATTTTCTGAATTTTTTTTTTGAGTAAACATTTTATACAAATGTTTTTTACATGAATGCTTTAACAAAATTAAAGAAATGATTTAAGAATTACACGCGGATTATGTATTATAAACTTTTTCTTAATCAGTAATTTAAATAATATGCTCATGACTCATAAATTTCTTATCGGACAATCCGAAGCTTAATTCCTCTCAACAATATAAAGACAGCTCACAAATGAGATGAGCTTAAAGCGTACAAATAATAAATAGAGATCAAAAGAACAAATAATAACACCTGCAAATGGCTTTTGGCATGGTGAATGGTGAGCCCTGGGCTATTGATGAGCTTCAATACAGCTTTAGGTGTGGCTCCTATAGTTTACAATTAAATACATAATAAGTTGTTGAGCTACAATTTGCAGGCATGAGACGAGAAAGGAAAGAAAAGGAGCTCACGCACGTTCAATACCACCTAGCTGATTGATAGCATCCACAAATGCTTCATGAAGTTCTGGTGTCCAACGCATTCGTTGCTTAGATGTCACTGAGCTCTTAGCAGTAAAATGCTCCTTTGATAGATCCACCTGAGTATTGACTACTTTCTCTTGCCTAGAAGGTGCTGGTATCTGTAACACTTTATAAGAGCTTGTTTTAATAAGAAATCTCTAGGTCAGTAGATAGATATAGAGACTTAGCTTCAGAAAACAAACCTTTGAATCTTGATTGAGGACATTAGGATCACCTAGAAGCTCTGGCCAATTTGGTTCTAGACCATCATCAACAGAGATCAACTGATTGGCCCAGTCTGGCTATTCACTTTTTGAGTGGACTTCCTCGGATAAGACCACGGCTCTGCTGCTCTCTGCTTGTGGATCTGGAACAGGAAAGTCAAAGAACCTCTGAAGCTGGTCTTCAGGCTAGCTCATATCTTTCATCTCCTGAGGTTGGTTAATCACTGGCAAAGATTGTGTTTCCACAGAGACATTAGGAACGGATTGCCTAGTCTGGATCTGGGAGGAACTTCTTTCATGTGCTGAAACGTACGTGCCATTACAGAATCCAGAAGAACTTCTACCAGAGACCAAAGGAAACACTTGACAAAGTACAGGGTTACTCATCAGCTCCTGTACTGATGAAACCCACAAAGAGTTAGGAAATTTTGACCACTGAATAGAAGAAACGATTCTTGGATCATAACAAGTCATAATCTAAAGACTGAACTTTTTTATCCTCCATGAAAAATCAGACCATTTGCTATTAAAAAACAGGACATACACAGCCAACCAATCGAAGAGAAACAGCAAAATTAATCACTTTAAGCTGAGTCAAAATCTTGAGATTGAGCTTTCTTATCCTCCATGAAAAAGCAGATCTTTTGAAAATGAAAGACTAAAAAATTGTAATAACAAAACATAGTGAACCAAAACCATATCAAGACTATCGATAAATGAACAGAATCAGCAAAGCTAATAACAGATCAAATGGACAATTAGTGTTCATCTCTTCCCTCCACAATCATAAACAACAACAAAAAAACAGCTAACTCCCTGAAGAGATACATAAGCTCAGAAAAATACACACATATTGTCTAAGAATGCCGACAGTGAGTAAATGGATAAGTCACTCATACTTTAGTAGTCTACCGCAGTGTCAAATAAAAGAGACCCAAATTTTGTTGAAATATAAACTTCTTGCCTCTGAAAACTGGCTGCAATATGAAAACCAAAAATACATTCAGTTATACTCGACCTAGAAGACAAACACACTACTAGTACTATACCTGATATATCTTAGGACATGAAGTTCTACCACATACCTCAGAGGGTTTTCCTAAAGAGTACCCATTCAGACAAAGACTC